AAAAAAAAATGGTGTTGAATTTTCATCTTGTATATCAATCTCTTCTTCTTCTTCTTCTCTGTAGATTTTTTAGCTTACTGGGAAATGCTCAAAACATCTACTATTGGATCGCTAAAGCAGGATCTAAGAGTGGCAGACAAGGTATTTATCAAGTAAAGAGTAAGTTAATTTTTCAATAAGCTTACTGCTATTTATTAAATTTCATGTTAGTGAAATGTTTTAATTAATTTAGAATAGAGTAGAATTATAGGAAAAAGGAGCAAGGATTGATGTCTCTTAGATGTGTTTAATATTTATGATAATTTTCAGCAATGAAATGCATGTGAAATGTGCCAATGGTTGCTAAAAGGTGTAATGCCAAGTGCATGTTAATCCTCAACTTGACAAATACAAACACGAAACAAGCATTTACATTCATTTGTAAACTTTCTAAAGGAGACTGGAAATAATTTGTTTTTAAAAACTTTGGTCAACTGATTTATTTTTGGTGATAACATTTCTTTTGGTAGTGTTACAAAAATTTGGCTCCAAGGGCCAGGAAACAGGGGTCTTCATCTTGTCACCCACAACATCAAAGCCAAACCTTGTAGAACGTTTTTCTGGTAAGTTCTCATCAATATTAAATAATTGGTATGCGATACATATTGTGTTCAGTGAGTAGCACTTAGAGGAGAAGGGCACTCCAAAAAATGTATTTTTTTCTGTCAAAGGTTAGGGTTAGGGTTAGCCACGCACCGAAGTTTCAGCCTCTAAAGTGCAGGTTTTCCTTGTGAAATTAATCTCCAAAGAAGCCCAAAATTCAGGAACAGTATGCAGCAGCCAGGCCGTGTTTTTGTGTTTTCATTCCGTTCAGGAGACTTCGTCCAAGTAGCTTCCGAAGAGCCTTTTAACTGCCTTTGAGCCATACTGTTTTGAGCCAAACATGCCTGGCCTGGCTGCCAAAACAGTTTCAAAATGGCAGCCTCCAAAGCCAATCTTTCAAGACTAATTTCTTCAGGATAGCAGGCACTTCAAGGGCTAAAACTTCGGTGGGTGGAAACGCTGAATGTTTACTTGCTATAGGTGAATTCAAAGACAACAGGCTTTCTGGAGTGACCTTATCCTTTAATGGCCATCTGTTAAGAGTTGCAGTTACACATTTTAGTAATAAATTACATTAACTTACAATTCAGTTTGAGTGCATTAACATACAGAAAGTTATTTTCCACACAATCAAGCAGAAAATTATGCAAAGAAATATGTAATTAAAAAAAAAAAACAGTTTTCACAACGCTGAAAACAGATTGCACAAGATTATAGCTACATGGAAAATGGACATGCATTTCAAGTTACTATGATATGCTCATAGCTTTTCTTTTTAGTAATACCAGAAAGTGGCTTAAGTTGTTAATTCCACATGTATGGTTTCCTTTACATAATTTAACTTTTAACATAGGCGAGAGCCTGAAAAATGTCACCTTTAATGAGGTCAGGGATGCCCTAGCACAAGGGACAACATCACTACAAGCCCTAAAAACTGAATGGTAAGATTACAATACAGTAATGGTCATGTAGCAAACCACACACTGTACCTGCTAAATCTGCTAGTAAGCATACCAAATAAATCCTGCTGGTAAGTTTAAGCTCATGCTTACTTATTGTGCCTGTTTGCCAAAATTTTGAGACATTAATCATAACAAAGACACATAACGGCTTTTAATATGCAGTCAAGGACATGTTTAATTTAGTCTTAGTAGAGCCAAGGGATCACCAGGTATTTTAATATGGAACATTTCACTATTACTGCAATGCTTGTTATTGAAATCTCTACCAAAAATTTCTGGCTGAGCTCACAAAAGAAGTGATGTTCTCAAAAAAATTTCGGGTGCTCAGGGTTCAAGTTTTGTTCCTTCCATTGAAAGCATCAGTCTTTCCACCCACCCAGTCCTTTCTTGAAAATGTGTAAGGTTTTTCTTTAGCA